TGTGTTGAGCATTGCATCTAAGAACAACTTAGATTTTCTCTGGGAAGAGAAAAGAAAGAGCAAGTACAGTTCTGTTCCTGGGACTGTCCCCAGAGCCCGGGCTTTGTCTGTGTAAGGACGAGTCTTAGGTTCGTGGGAGCGCAGGAAATGTGGAAGGCTGCACATCACACACCCAAGTGGGCAGTTGAGGGTGCAGGAGGCGCAGGAAGGCACATTAAGGCTTCGGTGGCTTTGAGACATGTAGGAGTGTCATCCCTCCAACCTCAGCAGCTCCTAGGTAGGACGGAAACTTCTTTCTCACATAGGAATTTCTGGGCGCAAGGGCACAGACTGCATGAGGCTATTGCTGCATCTCCAGAGGCCTCTCTTCATCACTTCAGGCCGCGGCTGTGGACTGTACCCCACGTAGGTGACTCCCGAGAGCTCCAGCACTTACCTTTACTCTCCAGGCTAGTGGATGAATCTAGGACATGGATGTTCTCGCTTTGTGGGCCCTTCCGGTCAGCCCCCAGTGCCTTTTCCTAGGTGATGGCATATCTGTGTTGGTCCCTTTTCCAGTGGAGTCTGGAAGCTGGATGCTGGATGCCCGGCACTTCCTTTACATTTTAGATTGTTTGAACGCCAGTAAATATTCTAAATGACATGGGAAAAGACAGTGGATTCTGTGCAAACTGCTGTGTCGTAGTGTCTTGACACCATATCTGAGTCAACATGAGACTCAAATACATTTTTTTTAAAGCAATGTTGAGTATAAGAGTGAGTTTCAGGTGAGGATGTTTACAATATGGATAAGAAGCATTTGATCCCCTAGGATCTCCCCTACCTTTAACCACACTCCAGTTCCCTAACTAATGGTTGGTAAGATTTGACAAGGATTTGGGAGAAGTTTAAATGCATTAAAAGTTTGTGAAAAGAAAAAATAAAAGAAAAAAACGACTTGCCCCTTAGTCATGCTGTCATAAGCAGGGCCCTTTGAGCTCTGAAGGGCGGCCGTGCACTGCCTGGGGCCTTCCTTGCCTCTTCTGTCCCTGGCCAACCTCCAGGGCTCTCTGAGCCCTTCATGAAGCCTGTCCCTCATCTTCCTCTTCAGCGGCCTCTATCACCTCAGCACCTTCGTCAGCATTGGCGCCCACAACCCCTCAGCTTCAAGCACTGGCAGGTGTGAGTGGCACAGGCCCCGGGGCCCAACCTCTCAGAATCATTCCTCCACCGCAGCCTCCCTGGCTCCCTGTGAGCGCCGTGTCCGCCGGGCCCACCCTCCTATGCCCTCTTCTCCACAGCATCACCCTTCCTGCTTTGACAACGCTAGTGTAGCAGAAATACAGCATTTACGATCACTCCAGGTCTCTGCATCTTCAAACGAACAGTTTTACTCCCACTTCCCTGCCATCCCGCTCTCGTCTGTGGCTCTGCTCACGGCCCGTAACTGTCTGCACACGTCCTTTTTCTCAGTTTCTCTTCCCTCCCCTCCTCCTGCAGGTGCAGCTCCACATGTCCCGCCTTGTGTCTCCCTCCTCAACTTTAACCCTCAACCTCTTCTCCCAACTACCCCACCCAACCCAGATTTACAGAACCCCAAATCCAGGGCATAACCGCTGTCCTCCTGCCAGCTGCTGGCCCTGTTGGGCTTTAGTCAGGTTGGGGCCCTCTCATCCTTCCCACTCCGCTCTGCAGCCCTCCCCAGGCAGCGCCTCTTTCTTTCCCTCCACCACCCTCTCCAGGGCACTGCCGCAGACTGAGAGTGGGATCATTTCTCTTTGGAGTTTCTATCCCTGCACATCTTCCTGTTCATCTGTCCTGTCTTTGGAACTACACTGTCACCACAGCAGTATAATCAGTCATGGTGCTTGGTGAGGTCAGGCCCTTGGCTTTGTTCTTCTTTAAAATATCTTAGTTCTCTGGTTCCGTTCTTCATCAGGATTGAAGAAAGTCAAAGTTGGGAATAAGGGTTCCCCTCTAGTATTCAGGATTTAAGGAAAATTTCTCCTTATGAAGCCCAGCAAAGTCCCAGGGGAAGCTTTGCCTGCTGCGCCCCAGCACTCACCATGTGTGCTTTTTACCCACTTGTCTGAAGTCTGGCGTGTGATTTCTGTTTTCTGGTGCAGCCCCCAGGACGTGCTGCTGAGGACACAGATGCGCATCCCCGGGGAGAGGGCCTATGCCCTGGCCGTGGACGTGGTGTGGGATACTGCACGAGGCTGGTCTGCCGGGTCCCTGAGGCAGAGGGTCGCTGACTTCTATGGCCTTCCTGTGGAGAAAATTGAAATTGCCAAATACTTTCCTGAAAAGTTCGAGTGGCTTCCAATATCTAGCTGGGTAAAGTTGTGAGGTTTTCTTAGAGAAATGGGCCTTCCTGGCCTAGCGAATATGTTAACTGCGGCTTTTCATAGGGATGAGGAATCTAGTAAGAATTTGAGGCTGAGTAGTAAGATGTTTTGTTTTCCTCTAGAGCCAGCAAATTGCCAAGAGAAAAAAGAAGAAAAAGCAAGATAATTTGCAAGGGGCACCTTATTACTTGAAAGATGGAGATATTATTGGTGTTAAGGTAAGTTGATTAACAGCAAACATCACTTAGACAAGACACAAGGTTCAAATGATTTTAGAGAAAAGTTTTATCAAATCTTCAAGACACAGATGATCCCATTTTATACAAACTGTTTCAGAGAGTGGATAATAGAGGGAAAGCCAGGCAACTTGTTTTATTAGACAATAAACCCCAGGACCAAAACTGCCAAGGACCAATAACAATTTAGACCGTTTCACTTGTGACCATAAATGCAAAATTCTAAATAAAATACTAGCACATCAAACCCAGCAAGTATGTTTTAAAAAATATTACTATGTGACAGTAAAGTAGGTTTATCAAAAAAAATTCAAGGACAATGGTGTCAAGAATATATGATATAATCACTATACTGCCAGATTTCAGAAGAAAAATCACATGGCTAATCCAATAGATAGAAAAGAAAAGCATACTGTAGATTTTAATATTAAAAATTCATTTTCATTCATGATTTAGAAAAAGAACCTAAGCAAGGTGCAGTGACCATAATCAGAGTGCCTGTAATCCCAGCACTCTGGGAGGCTGAGGCAGGAGGATTGCTGGAGCCCAGGAATTTGAGGTTACAGTGAGCTACAACAACACTAATGCACTCTACCTGGAGCAACAGAGCAAGACGCTGGCTCAAAAAAAATTAAAAGAAAAGAACTTAGCACAAACTAGGTAGGAATAGATGGAAACACCTTAACCTAATATAGGTACTTCCTGAAAACCTACTGTAATATTCATGTCAAAAACTTTAAAAGTATTTTTATTAGTCAGAGCCCAAGTAAGGATCCTTAGTCACCACTTGTATTCAACATGGTACTAAACCTGTAATACCTCCCTCTCACCAAGAAAAATAAATAATTAAAAGTTGAAAGGGAGGTAAAAGAAATGAGAGAAAATATAAAACTATTCTTACAAAGGTGACTAAAGATTAGACTGTCCAGCAAAACCACTGAATCTGATGGAGAGTTCTTAAGAGTCCAAGATCGATATATAAAACCTTAAGGTACACATGGACACATCCAGCAAAAGATTTCTTTTTTTTTTTATTAAGTCATAAACACATAGATCATGTATACATTAATGCATTTATGGGGTACAATGTGCTGATTTTATATGCAGTTTGGAATGCTTATATCGAACTAGTTAATATATCCTTTACTTCATTTACTTAATTATTGTGTTAAGACATTCATGGTGCATATTGCAAGGGTACATATTTAATCTATTAAGTATACAGTATAAATATCTTAACCAGCAAAAGATTTCTAAAACTTTCTGGAGAGTATTGGAAAAGTATAACCAAACTGTATTAAAGAAAGCTACAGTCAGATGCAGAGCCAGACCCTACTTTTGTAAGGGGAACTTCACAACAGCAAAGATGTCACTTCTTCCCAAATCTATGGATTTAGTACAATTCCAGTGAAAATCCACATGAATTAGGTTAAATCAAATAAATTGAATAAATTCATATGCTAGACC